CTAATTGTCTTAAGTAAAATAGAAATATATAACTTAATTATTTAAATAATATATGCGTAATATTTTATAACGTTATAAGTGTAAATCTTTTAATGGTGTTTGCGCTAAATCATATAAAATTATATGTGAAAAGAACATTGACAGTTTTCTTTATCTTATATGTATTAATCTTCTTCTGATGTTTATAATAGAAAAATATTACGAATATGCATTTTTTTTTAAATCTCAAGCTAAAATTTTTTTCAATTTAACTTACTTTGCGTAACATGCTGTATGATATAAATACATAATAATTTTAAATAATTTTTTCTTTGTTTTGATAATCAGACAATTCCATACACCTGATTTCATACATCAATAATTAATCTGGTAATTCAAACACCTTTATTTTCCTTGTTTCAGAATAACATTTGCAACATGTGCGTGCGTGTTTTATTTCGTGTCCTACATAAAGTACGTGACGATTCATCATAATTGGCCTATCGTTCAGCGACACGCACTTTTTCATTTCACAACAAGCTGTTTATAATTCTGCAAACATCTGCACAAATTTTGCCCGCGCAGATCGGCCTTGCGCATCGTCTGCGTGTCCGTTTGAAGGCAATACTGTTTTGCCGATATATCGATTTCAAGCTGATTTGTCATTACCTTCTCGATGAATCTATGAAGGTAAACGCAGCAATATTATATATGAATAGTAACTTCACGGCGACGTGAAACCGTTCTTGCTTTCACGCGTGCGATTCGCCGCCATGGTTCTTCCGTTCATGCACTACGAGTATTTCGCGCGCGTGATCGGGGCAGCTGTAGCAACGCGTATGCAGGCACTTGTTGCAACAAACGTCATGCCTGAGGCGATAACCAAAGCATGAAAATATTTTAGGTTCTCTTTTCGCTTTTGTGCATCGTTGACACCTCGTGAAATATTCCCTATTCTCTATAATCCATATTTGTTAACGAATCCTAGGTGAAACAGGCACAACTGTTTTTTCTGCCTGGTTATAAAGCTTATAAATATGTTAAATAAAAAAAGCATTTACATGCATGGAAAGAATAATAAAATATCAAAAAATAAAGCTATAAATAAGAAAAATAATTTTGTCATCAAAATAATTATGTAAAAAACATTTAAGCTGCTTGAAGATAATGCTGCAAAAAGTTTTAACTTTCTAGCAATTTAAGCATCCTACATAAATATTTTAATTATATAATTATAATTATTTTAATTTGGTCTAAAGAAAATTATTTTCAGATCTGTATCTAACTAAATTTTTAGATGTTTCTGCAAAACTATTCTTTTCGTGTAAGAATATTAAAAAGAAGAAAGTGGCAGAAAAAATATCTTAAGAGTATAAATCACACCAATTGAATTCACATTAATTTAAAAAAACGAGAGAATTGGCCATTAGCCATGCACGTATGATATGTGTAAGAGCGTCTCTTCACGTCATAACAGAAATCATTTTAACAATCGCATTACCTCGTAACAAATCTGCTCTACGTGTGAGAATTCGCCGGCATGGTTGTTATCAACTGGAAAAGCAGGTAAGAGGATTTTCTATTCCTGGATATCAACTACGTATTTATAGTATGTTCCGGAAGCTCTCCTGGATATTTATAGATCGGTGATCATTCTGCTTCCTTTTGCCAGCAGTACCAGTAGGCGGATAAGAAAGCTAGTATGGGTCGCCGCGGAAAACGAGAAAAAGGAGAGCTACATGTTTTGCTGTCTTAAAAAGCAAAACGTTGGCAATGAAATATCGTAGAACAGGATCGCCCTGTTTTGCATAAATATTATGATAGAGAATGATTTTTTCATGTAGACGACGTCGCCTATCTACGACATACGCAACACATCACCGTTCTTAATCATTCATTCAGAATGGAATTCATTACTCTAGGGAATGAGAAGGGGATAGTCGGAAAACTGTTAATAAATTAAAAATTGTACATCTGAAATTTCAAAAAATGCGAACAAATGTAACTAGACGTTCCTTTCTCCGCCAATTGCGGCTAATCATAATTTCTATCAGGAGAATCGACTTACGGAATACTTATAAGTATACACGCTCTCGTTTGCACACTACCGCGAAAGATTTTCTATTTCTGGACATTCCTGCGTATTTATAGACTAACCGTTGTCGTCTTTCCTTTAACTACTGTAGTGTTGTGGTATAACGCGCATAGGAAAGCGAGATCTTACGTGAAAGCCGTTAAGGCTGTTTCCACCGAGGCGCGTACGGAGAGAAACTGAGATCAGGGAGCATCCACCAATACCACACAATGTGTAAAGGTCGTAGAAATGTCAACAAACGGGCTTAAACAAGGACACCATGAATGGCAATAGGATAAGTGCTATTATGCATTTTTGTAGGCATTGTAAAACGCGCGAAATTGCATTACTCTTAATATGCTATTATATTATTTAAATTGATAATTTTTTTAAACATACATATTTAGTAGCTTTGTTAAATTTTATAAAATATGTAGAGAAAAGTTAATTTTTACATACATATACTATAACTAATTATTTTCAATTATTTACTCTTATATTTTTAGTATAATTATATAAAAATATATATAGCGAAATTTTATAAATGTTTTACATCTATATATATATATATATTAGATTTTTTAAATAATAAAAAAAATTTAATATAAATTTTAATATTATATTTAACAATAGAATAAATAAAAGAATAATTTAATTTGTATAACGTTCGTTAATATTATATGTTTCTCCGCGATCGAATCATTCATATAACTAGTAGTAGTTAATGCCATGCGAACGACTTAGAACATAATTAACACATTCGTTTTATGGTTTCTCCGGTTATTATCCAGACAGATAAGAGGAGAACTCGCTTGTATTGTATGTAGAAATGTGTTATGTATATAACCTTTTTATTTAAAAATAATGAAAATGTTGTACATATTCTTCTTCTTTCTTTCATTTATTATTTTAGCAAGCATAATGAGATAAAATTTTTTCATATTTCATTTTACGATTAAGAAATTATCATGAGAAGCAATTGTTGACGTACGATATTTTCAAGATAGATTTTTATTTAATCAAGTGTTTCTGTTTGTCGTTTTTACTGTAATTTTTTAATTCTATCATTATTACACTCATATTACACTCAAATATTTTAGATCATTTTCATCGAAAATATATATTATCATACTTTCATATCTACATCATATTCTAAAAAATTTCCACGTTGCATAACATTTAATTTCATACATAATTGTTGACTGAATCGCGTAGACGCTCTCGACAAGCATTGATGTTACCGATTACACTGATTTACGAGAATGATTATATAATGACTTAAAACAAAGAAAAAAATGGAAAACTTGGAATAATAATTTCATAGTATAAATGCTTAATATTTATACTATAATTAAAATAAAAGCAAAAAGTTTTTTTAAAACATTTAATATTATTAATAGCAGTTTGCAACAGTAACGCAGAATGTATCCAGAAATATTAATTAAAAGTATATAATATCAAAAATTTATATTTAATAAATAATTATGATTAATAATTAACAATAATATCTAATATCTGTTGTTATTTTTATCGTTTCAAAAGATATACATTAGATAGAACAATGAAATCTTACGTCGTTAATCAATTTTCCTCATCGCACTCCCTACAAATTAAATAAAAACACCTGCGAGAGATGTCACGTAATTTATATATGATTTCACATTCATTTAGAAAACACAACTTTAATAATACTACACTCTGAACATATGATAGGTTTACATATGCGAGTGGCTCGATTAAACACGTGCCAGACTGATGTTGTCATGTTAATCCTTCCAGCATAAACTTTGCCATTGTTACATTGCATGGCAGATAACAGACGCGCGAGCCGGCGGGGCTGTAGTAGTGCAATAATTTTCAGTGGCGATATATTCTGGACACAGCGATCATGCGGTGCCGCTACGTTTTAAAATCAACGTATCGGTAACCTTATTTCCTTAAAACGCGCAAGAAATGCTGACCGAACGCCACTTCTGTGCTAGCGGGTTTTACGTGCTTCGCTACTGTGGTTCAAACGAATCGCGTTTTCTGTATTGACTGAAAATTTGGGACACTTCTGATATTTCGATTTTACTACAAACCGGCAATGATAATTCTTTGACGGGTTTCGAAACACGCAACGGATTAATTATAGAACTATTGGACGTTCTTGATTGATACGCAAATTCTAGTATACTTAACGGTCATCTTCCTGTTTTCAACACGATTATTTGCCAAATTCTTACTTAAGGATATTTGTTCTTACCTCCTTCTGTGAAACTAAGCTATAAATCGAGAGCGTGACACATTAAGTTGAAAGTTAAATGTTGCACAACGATCAGCCGGTCATTATAGCGCAATGTCTTCATCTTACTGACATACTGACAATATGTAGTCTACATGTCCAGAAGTCTAGACATCTAGACATCTAATTTCATGAATCATTCTGTACCAAAAATATGACAAAATTATCTTGATCTTCGAATACAATCCGATGTTCTTTGACTTTATATCACGAAACTGCTACGTTTTGCAATGATCGTGTAATCGCGATGCTAACAATCGATTCGAATTTTCCAGTTCAGTTTAATATACTATCATCATAATTTATAAACTTTGGCGAAAGTAAAATTAAATCTTGTGATCTTTCGAGGTACGATTGTAAATAATAAAAAAATTGGGAAAAGCAAATTACTCACATGATAACAAAAATTAAGATCAAAGCTAAATTATAATTACGAGAAGAATATTGCCTAAAAATGAAACAATCGATGTATTTACATTCGATTTGAATTGAGAAATACGCGGAAAGCAATTCTTGCCAAGGCTCTACGCATCTATTACTACGGTCTCACTTGTCAGCTGCCAGCGAATTGACAGCTTTGGTGCCTACATCAAGCGCAGACCGCAAAAAAACACATACATTCATTCAGCATATTGAAACGAGTTGGAGAATGGCGAGACTTACTTGATTAGAATCCTCCAGAAGCAGCCAAAGCTAGAGCCGTTCGGCACTTCGCTCGCGTACGATATGGTCATTTCCTGTCTGATTGCGCGCGCGCAATCCCTTTCCTAAGTCACTACCCTCTTCTTTCTTCTTCAACTCGGTCTCTTCTTTTATAGACGATCTGGTCCTCGTACCGTGTTGATGATGTTTCCGGTGAAGCTGCACACTCGCGCACATGCGGCGCGCGGGCCACTGATGTTCTATCCAATGTTTAGCTAATTTAATTTCAAAGTAGACACCAGGAGATCGGCATCGGGATCTACCTAGTTGCTCGCGATAGGTTTACCATGAGGAAGATCTATAATACGCGAATGGTTAAAACCAGCTGACCAGGCGGATCGACTGTCTACTGACTGAGCTCCACTAAGGACGGCGGGACCAACAGAGAACGGGGCCCGGCTGTGCCACCTCCACCTGGAAACCAGGGATGTGAGAGTCACCTGCAGAACCCATTTCGCACTGAACCTGCTTCGAGTATTTTCAAGTATAAGGATCGAGCTTTTCTTTGGACAGAAAGAACTGGACAGAAAGAAGCAAGCAACAAAATGTTTTGCAAAAAAACTTTTGCGAAACATCATTTTGAAGGCATCTTTTGATAAATTATTTCTGAAAGCGACATTATGCAAACTTCGAATTTTCATTGAACTAGAAATATTAGACATTGAATATAGACTGTTTAAACTGATTGATTATATTATTCCATCAAATATTTATCTTCCTTATTTTTCAATCTTATCAATGGATACCTGCAAATTTTATATGCACCAAGTAAATTTTATAAGCATAACATAACAGCAAACATCGAAAAGATCTTACAAGAGATATTTGAAGTATCAATCATGGGAAAATCATAATGAAATATCGTGTAAAATCAACATATTTTCTATTATAAAGCTATCATGATTGAGAAATAAAGTGACAGAAGATCAATTGCATGTTGGGTAAACTATCGATTTAACGTATATCTTGAGATATCATAAGTTAATAGATAGATAGTAAACTTTAAGTGATAATTCCATTTCTATGTTTGTCGTATTCATTAAATAGCGCGCCGTCCTATCGAACTAAATGTTGTTTCGGAGTCACCCTAAGTCATGTTTTATCTGAAATCAGCTAGGAATTTATGTAACTTTGTTGCAACCATCTGTGACATACGGTTTACACGGAATTCCTCTTTCAAAATCAATCGACACGCCTAGCCTTTCAAGTGGATCTGCGACAAGTAAAAGGGAAATGGTTTAAAGTGCCGCTCTCGCCTCCTCAGCAATATTACTATCAGAAGTTTCCACATTTCATTACTCTTTGCACACCGGTTTTTTTTCATTGTCCCCTCCTTTATATATTCATCGACTGTATCATTATCATTAGTGTATCTAATTACGGTATATATGACAATAAATATGCACGATTGTGTATTTCGTTACGCGATGCTTCGTTCCTCCAAGGATAGATCGGACATTCTTACGGCCCTGTGCGGTCGTTCAAACGCAAGTGGTTGCAGATATATTCGCAAGTACTGAGCACTTCCAAAACGCCATCTTGCGCACAGTTTTCGCATCCTTCTCTCACCTTGCCATGGCCTAGCCTGCGGCGTAATAATGGCCTTCTGGTACCATCCACCGGTCACCTTTCGCTCACGCGCCGTGAACACGATGACGTGCTCTCTTACCGCTTTCTGGAAGTGCCAATGATATTTATGCAACGGGAAAATCCGAAAATATGAAGCCGCAGTTCAGCGAAAGGCTTTACTCGGAAGTAATAGGAGATTCGAGTTGCGCCAACGAAATGTCATGTATGCCAGATATTGCCAGGTGTTATAAAATAGGTTGACGTCAACTCATCGGGTTTGAGGATTTTAGGATCTAAAAGATCTGGAAATCGTCAAAGAACAACGTCATTCTCGAGGACCATTCCAGCGATTCAAAATATTATGAAATTCGAGAGAATATAACATAATTCGGAGAATCTGTTGGTAATCTTCATCCAGATTCATATAAATTAGCAATCGGAGCATTCGCGGTTGCCGTACGTCACTCTGGACGAGTCGGATAAAAATTTAGTTATGGTAAATGGTTTTGCGGTGCCGATTGTAACGGTACGAAGTACTAGGACAAGCTACGTATAATTTATTACACTCGTATTTTTATACAAGAATCGTATTTTTACAAGAAATTAAATACGTTCACAAGATCCCTTCTCACGCATTACTCAAACTATTTGATTTTTATATCCTTTTGCACTTTGTACACATAGTTCGCTGAAGCTTGAAACAGCTTTTTCTCGTTTTCAGTTATGTGCATTCGTACAATCTGTGTGATACCATTTTCGCCAATCGCGCAAGGTAGAGACAAGAACATCTCGTAATTTACGTCATGATGACCCTAAGAAGATAATTTTGATTAATATAGAACATAATAGTTTTGCATACAGCAATATTAATTTTTTTACGTATTACATTTTATTTTTATTTTTGAAAATAAAATACAATACGCGCGTGTTACTACATTTGATGATCAATCCAAAAATATTTTATTCATGAATTGTATCAGCTAATATTTAATATCACGAATTTTTTATTTTCAAAAATTGTAAATTAATTGCAAATATATAATTTTTAATATTTATACCTGCACTAAGGTCGAAACTGACATAATAGTTTGTGAATTGCGTAATATAGCTGCTATGATGTCGGCTGCAGAAAGTCCAGTGGCTGTATTTGAGTATCCTTTCAGACAACGCACTATGGAACCTCTAAAAAATAAAAAATATTAAATTCTTACAAAAATTAAATATTACAAAAATTCTTTTTAATTGAAATTGAAGTTATTGTTTAATTATACACATGTACAATTGTAATTGTTTGCTGATTTTGTACATTATAATATAATTTATTTAAATATTATTTGTAGAATGTATAAATCTAAATTATAAATTAAATCTTTATAAAAGAAATTCAAGTGTTTGCAAATACGCTATCCGACGAGTATGTAAAAAAACTAATAATTTCTCTGTTCATTTAAAATGATTGAACTTACAGTTTCACTACATATTTTGATATTTCGAACCATTTTTCATCATCTGTCTCGAGACCGATATTCGGGATAACATCGCGGAACTGCACTCCCGCAACGTTCACTCCGGACCAGAGCGGAACTAGGAAACATCGAATGATAGATCGCTTAATGCGTAACGTCGCCTTTCTCCTCGTGTCAAATGTCACACATCGATCGATAAAGCTTACCCATACTGAGTCCATGTTCACCAATCATGTACGCTTGGACCGAACTCGGTGCTATTTCTAATCGATCAGCAATCAAGTAGCGAAATCTTGCGCTATCCAGATGAGTTCCACTACCAATTATCTGATGGGCCGGAAGTCCACTTAATTTCCAGGTAATCCATGCCAAAATATCCACTATAAGAAAAAAATCACATTTATAATTTATCAAATTTTTGTGTATAGACATTATAGACTTATTAATAAGAAGCTTTTACTGTTTATTTAAATAAAGACATCTTTTCAATTTTTATCAAATATTATATTACTCATACTATATGTAGAAAAAACTATATTGAGAAAAAATGATTTTTTTCTCAAGATATTTTTTTAGGGAAATATCGAATAAATATTTAATTTGCAACATTTGAAATTTTTAATACTATATTTATAATGTTACTTTCATTAAAACTTTCTTTGTTTCTTATATAGTAAATAATTATTATAGTAAATACAATTTAATATATTAATTTTAACCTGGGTTGCTAATGACAACAAACACCGCATTTGGACTAAAATTTGCTAGAGATGGTATTATGTTTTTCAATATTTCTGTATTTCTCTTCACCACATCGAGTCGAGTTTCATCCTTCACTGGTCGTATACCCGCGCAAATAGCTACGACTTTCGAATTACTTGTCACACAAAAATCTACAAAAAAGATATTTTTGCGTCTTAAATAAATGTCGTAAATAAATGTGTTGCGTCTTAAAAAAATTGTTGTACATAGAAAATCAATTAGACTTTCATAATATTTTTGTAACATATATAGTTACGATTATAATATATATTTGCACATGAACAAATAAATCTATGATTTTTGCATAACTAATACATATTCAATGAATCCATTACCTGTATCATACTCGATCTTTGGATCCCCTATAAATACAGAACCATGGTTGTAGTCCATTCCTTCGCCTTCCAGTTTTTTAGGAAAAACATCTACCATTGCGATATGCGAAGTAATTCGCTAACATTTAATAAAATAATAATACAAATTTACAAAATAATCATTAAAAATTTAAATTTTAATATTTCCACCGTTTATTTAAAACACAATGGACGCTGTATAAAATATTATACATATAATGAAAATATGCATTATAATGTTTATGCATTTTCTTTGATTGTATTTATAATATACAAATTTTTATTTTAATTTGAAATAAAGTAAATTCAATAAATAATTATAATTCAAACTGTATTTAAAATTCCAACTCCATAAAAAATTTAAAGGAGTGAACTACCTGAAAAAGAAGTGAATTTGCAAGGGCAACACCGATCATACCAGCACCAACAATAGTTACTTTATGGCCACAATCTCTAACTGGTTCCGACATCTTACATAAGAGTTCTTCTCGCAAGCATGGCGAACTAGAATTCAAATAATTTGCTTTTCTTTAATATTTCGGCAAAATATTATATTGTAATCCTTCAAGAAATTATTTTGTATATTTAAAATTAGCTATCTAAAAAAACTGATTATTAATTTCTTCGAAAAATTCTTTAGTAATTAT